TCTGTTTGGTTGTAATGTGTTACGAATATTTTCTTCGTCCACAAATGCGTATCTTTATCCACAAACGTCAGACGTCATCGTCGGGTTCCATTTTTATAAAATCTTCTAGCTTCACATTTCGAGTGGCAGATTCATTTTCGCTACTTCTGGAAACAATAAGAAAATATTTAAAACACAATGGCCGTATCCATTAATAAAAATACGTGTAAATAACATACTTAAAGTCATCGTGCCCCTCTGTCTTCATAATCGGAGCAACATCTTCAGGTTCTGTTTTTATAAAATCTTCTGATTTTATTTCATTAGTCACAGATAAACATTCAGAATTTCTGGAATTAATGAGTTACATTATTTTCACTAAATTAGTAAAAATACACTTAAAAAAACATACTTAGAGTCATCCAAAGGCGAAGCGAGATCATCAATTTCGATTTTTAAAGCATCTAATATCACTTCATCAGTTGAAGATGTACAATCGGCATTCCTGGAAACAATAAACAATTAAAATGACAAAATATGTGCCTGGACATTTTTGTTCCAATAGCAATATTTCAATAAGTTTTTTTGATAAGTGCCATTATTTTGAATACTTGGAAGTTTTAAAACAGCGACCTTAAATCTAGGGTATTGAAAAAATAATACTCATATTTAAAACTAAGTAAGATCACGTCAAGTGGACCCCCTTTTCCCACTTAGTCATGGAATTCTATTTAATATACAGGGTGGTCCGAACTGTATTCCGGAAACTTATTTTGCACATAAAACTAAGTAAAAAAGTTCGTATAAATGTGTGTCCTAAAATGCTTACTTTCGGAGATAAAGGGTGTAAAAGTTTCATTTTTATTTCGATTTTTTCTTGTTTCTTGTTCACTCTTATTAATATCTTAATTATTAGATATTAATGCATCTGGTATTATAGTAACCTGGTAATATCGTCGATTTTAAAATGAACTAACTGTTTCTATCTTATTTTTTTGTTAGAATGAGCATAATCAAGAGGGCTACTGATACCGTGTTTTAAAAATAAGGTAATTAAGGGCTTATTTTTTGGCCATTATAATTTTAAAAATATCTTCGGTTTGAAAGAAGATATCAAGATGCGCTTTTCGCTGACTTTTTAAGCTTTTAATACTCTTTATTATCAGCTAAAATTACATATACTATCGTATTTAACTTTTTTGAAAAAACGCGCTATGTTTGTTAAAGTTTGTAAGAAAGCGCCCCCTGACGTCTACGTTCAAGACCTTAGTATAATTATTTTTATGGTATAATATAGAGTAAGAAACGCTCTTTTAAACGAGCCCTCGTTTGTCGGATTCTGATCATCCAGTCCGGAGTTATTAACATATAAATAAAGACAGATCTAACCTTCCCCCACCACTTTATTTTATCTGATAGAGGAAAATGGTTCTAACAAAAAAAAATCCAAAATTTACTGAATATTATGAAGCTATCATTTATAGTCGGCCAAATTCTGTAAAAAATTCTATTATCTTATTTTCCATAGCAGTTGCGCCCTCTAGCGGTCGTTTTACAAACTTGAAAAATGCGATTAATAATTACCACACCGACATCTGACTGATACTGATTCTATTTTCTATTCTATTCTACTAGCGGTAGCCCCCACAAACGTCTTAAAGCCCGCCCCTCGCAGAGGCTCTCTGTCGTATCACTTTCCCTAAAACGATGGTAGGAAAAGACATTATCTGTCTCTCGTTGCGCTGCAGTATATCTTTCAGCCTTTTAACATCTTTTATCGCATTGAAACCTCCCATGCCTAGATATCAAGTTACCAATCCTGTGTATGGTGTTATTTTGATCGCTGGATATCTTTGAGAGGGTTGACCTGAGGAACTTTGACCTTCCAGACGTTTTTGTACGTGAAATTCATACTAATATATAAAATCCTAAGGACTGACTCACTGATCAATCACGATCCTGCTCAAAACCACTAACGTAAGAAGCCCAATTTGGCATACAGGTTGATTCTAGGTGTAGATAATTGATAACAAGGATTTTTCGAAATTCCAGTTCCAAGGGGGTGAAACCACCCCTCAAATATTACAATATTTTTTATTTAAAACACGGTCATGTTTCAGAAAAAACGCTTAAACACGTATATTTTATTCATCCTGCTCAAAGCGCTTGACGTAAAAAGCTGACTTTTGGAAAACGGATTGCTTTTAGGGTGTAGAGGTTCGATAAGAAGGGATTTTTTGTTAAAAAGTTTAGAACTGAATCATCCATATGTTGATATTAATTTAACCATACGGCAGAGCCACAAGCTCACAGAAAACATTAAGTCTTTTTTTTATTTAAATCATTTTAATGACTTAAGTCGTTTGATTTTAAGTCATTTTTCGAAAGCTGACATAAGACTTAAAATTTACGTCTTTTTGAAACTCTCTTTTTGAAATATGTCATGACTACCAGTCATGACATATACATGCGAAACTTGGATACTTAAAACGGACATCGTAAGAAAACTGCAGATCGCACAACGTTCAATGGAACGAAGGATGCTGCGAATAACCAAGAGAGACCGTAAAAGAATATATAGAGTGGATACGCCAAAAGACCCAGGTAATAGATGTCATCCACAGAGTAAAATTCCTCAAATGGCAATGGGCAGGACATCTGGTAAAAAGAATGGATAATAGATGGACCACAAAAAGTTCAGCATGGTATAGTTTATCTGAAGTCAGTTGGAATAGATTAGGACTCTTAATTGGTGTCTTTGTCGGCGTCGCGTCGCCGTCGTCGTGACTAAGGAATTAAGACTCTTCCAATTGACTTCGGAAATGCTATACCCAAGAGGAATTGAGAAACATAAGAGTGCATCTACCAGGTACCTTGTGAATGTAGTGAGTAGTGTATTGGAACGACAAAACGTACTTTAAATGACTTTATCGAACACAAAAGACCATAACAGAGAAGTGAAACAATGAAGTAAGATAATACAGACCATGTATGATCAAGGCAACACAAAATAAAGTGCTCGGAAGCTCGTGTTATTATATGAAAGTTGGAAATAACAATTTTCTCTCATAACAATCTCCTGAAACAAAAAACAAACCGAAATACGTCTGATTTGTGATTTAAATGTTTATTCCGAAATTGAAAAAGATTTAAGTCTTTTTATAAAAGGCTTAGAACTAATCGATATTGCTATCTATAGGTGAAGATACACGTTTTTTCTGCTATACGTCAAATAAAAAATATATCTGCAGATTATAAAGCGCTCATTTGTACCCGAAAAATACCGGGGTAAATAACAATAAATTTACCTGGAATCAATATGCTTAGCGTCATGCGGTCTTTAATCTTGTTTTTCCGCTATTTCTTATCACAGTGTGCACAAGCGAACAACTGTCGCCCATCTGGGGCCAAGTGAATTTTCTGGTGTCGTTGAAAGTGTGATATAGAGGGTGTTTGCAGCTACCAACAAACATTTATGGCGATTTTTCTGCGCATCCTTGGACCTTAAAATCATTTTTAAATATTTGTCTTGTAATTGCGTCAAACAATTTTAAAATGGTAGTGGTGAAGTTTAACCACTAAGACAAAGATAAAATAGTGCCCGAAAATACCGGGGTAACAATAAATTTACCTGAATAATATGCTTAGCGTCAAGGTGGAATTTTAATATTCGTTTTTCTGTATATTTCTTATCACAGTGTGCACAAGCGAACAACTGTCGTTCATCTGGGGCCAAGTGAATTTCCTGGTGTCGTTGCAAGTGTGTTTTTTCGCGTGTTTGGTAGCTACAAGTGGAACATTTATGGAGATTTTTCTGCGCATCCTTGGACCTAAAATAATTTTTAAATATTTGTCTCGTAATTGCGTAAAACAATTCTAAAATGGTAGTGGTAGTTTAACCACTAAGACAAAGATAAAATAGTACCCGAAAATACCGGGGCTAACAATAATAAATTTACCTGCAATCAATATGATTAGCGTCAAGGTGGTCTTTTAATCTTTGTTTTGTCGTATATTTCTTATCACAGTGTGCACAAGCAAACAACTGTCGTTCATCTGGGGCCAAGTGAATTTCCTGGTGTCGTTGAAAGTTTGTTATATTGCGTGTTTGGTAGCCACAAATGGAACATGTATGGATATTTTTCCGCGCATCCTTGGACCTAAAATCATTTTTAAATATTTGTCTTGTAATTGCGTAAAACAATTCTAAATTAGTAGTGGTAGTTTAACCACTAAGAAAAAGATAAATATAGTTGACTTGCATTGTAAGTAGGTGATAGAGATGGTTTAGAAATTACGATCACTTATTTTAACTGTAAAACTATATGAAAAATGTCGTCGATCGTCATCTCTAACTCTACTGGACGCCATTTTTTCGATTATGCGGTATAGGTTATGCATCTTCCGCCGGTGCTGCCACCATCGGAGAATATCGTAAAAAACTAGCACATACAAATACACGGTTTTAAATAGCGGGTATACGAAAAAATTATTATTTAATTATTCTAAAAGCGTTAGGAAGTATAATTTGTGAAAATTCTAAAAATAAAAAAGTAAATATTTTCATACCTTCAGAAGGTCTAACTTGTATTATAATTTATTATTCCAGTTAAAACAACTTTTTAGATGAGTTCAACTATGGTAGCGAGCATAGTTTTAATCACCGGTTTTGCTAGTGGGCCATAATTGGGGCTATTTCGGCTATAACGAAATTTTTTAAACGTACATAATTAGAATTAGACTGTTAGTCGCCAGAACTCTTCCAACAACCATATACGTTATCTTTATAGTGTGTTGCCAGATTTAATTTTCGCTAACGTTCGTGTTGTCTTTATTCTGCTTACCGTTGTAAGTATATATACGTCTTGCTCTAACCTATCGGTGGGTTCGTTATTTTGGTACTCTAAAAACTATCATTTGCTAAAAGTCTTGTTTTCCGTACCCTTAGCAGGTACATTTCGGTCTATCGGTAGACCACTTCACATTGCGACCAGTGGTGTTACTCTAAATTTTATTATTTAATTAAAAAAAATTAATTAAAACGTCCGAGCACGAAGATGACGTTCTAGATACACAAGAGCAACTGCAGCAAGCAGTATCTAAATTAGTGGCCCGTCGCACAGTGCTTCGTCCCATGGACAAAAATCGAAAAAAAAGTTAAAATTTACTAGTATCTGAATATATAATTTTATACTTATAGCAATGTTCAACCATCCTGTATATTATTTTTCATAAACAGCGTTTTTTGTTAGCAAATATTTTCACTAAAAATAAATTTTGCGATCATTATCTTATCAGTGAAAAGAATAACATTCATAGTAGTTCTGTATATTATGGAGTTAAACGGTACGTACTTAATTGAAAGCCACTATGAATATTGTTAAACAAGGTATGTACTTTAAATTTATTTCTAAACAAGGTCGTGATTGTTTAGTTTTTATTTATTTTTTAAGATGATTCTTAAATGGGTATAAAAATTTTACGTTTTCAAACTTCAAAAAGGCATTTAAAAAAAAACATCAAAACATATCGTATTTATTAAATATTTTTGTTGTCATATTCATACACTTTTAATTTTTGTATAGTTCACCTACGTCTGCTTGCGACGAACTTTATTTTATAATACTTTTCAGATGGAGTAAAATTGATAAGCAATGCCGATCTGGTTAATACTTGGCTCGATCATAAGGACAAGAAATCAAAATTATATGTATTTCAAAAAATGTGTTCTTTATTAGATATTGATGAACCCTCCAGTCAAATGAGACACCACTTGTGCCTGAAAAAGTCCACTATGTTGGAGCGAAACGTCGCATAAAAAAAGTTTCCATCTTTCAGTTTATTATAAAACCACATACCCAAGAAAAGGAAAAAATAATATATGGATATGGTCTATTAAAGAGGTAACTATTAACATCTGAACCCCTCATACCAACAAAAAGAACAGTAACAACGCGAAAAAGTAACATATTATAAAATGATGTACAGAAATATCTTATATGTGAGGATACATCGTCTACCTGTGATTTGGATACTATAAATTTGGAAGATTCTGTCAGCAGTGATTCTTCTGAATCAGAGTAGTTACGATCTATGCATTTTGTTGTCCTAAAGTAAATTTATAGTATCTTAAGTTTTTTTTTAATTAAATATTACTTTAATAAAAATGTTTTTCTTTAATTAATTAAAGAAAAACATTTTTATTTTATATTAGACTTATATTGTAGGAATCATGTTCTAATGTTATTTCAATTCTTTTTTATCACAGGGATTTATTTAATACTTACACCGTTTTCATACTATAAATTATTATTTCCTTGCCCCATACTCACACTTTCGCTACTTCACTTCGTTCCTTCCTCGCGTCCCTTCGTCGAAAAATCATATATTTACTATGGGAAAATGTCGATTTTATGCGACTGTGTGTTCCTTCCTCCTTCGTCAAAACGCTACTTCGTCCGTTTACTTCCTCGAAACGCTCCATCCACGTATTGTCGGTTTTTGGAGGAAGTAGCAAAGGAATTATCACGAACACAAAAAAATATTAAAATATATAAAATATATAAATCGATCTTGGATTTCATTCGTAGTTGATTTCTTGATTTGGCAGTACGTCTGTACAGGGTGTCTCATTTTCGTGTGTTTTACAGGGTTTCTCGTTTATGAGTCGAGATACAAAGATGCGGTTTTCATATTACGCTGTTACTTTTTTATGAAACATGAAAAAATTGCGAAAATTTAATCATCTAATTTTGACACAAGGGGTCGCGCTTAACTTTTTCAATTTTAATTCAATATTCATTGTTTTCAAACTATATTATTAGACTTTGTTGTATTTTGTGAATGTATAAACGTTTTCTTAGTATAAAGTTGCATTATAGTAATTTAAATTATATTACATACATATTTAAGATTCAAATATTAAGACATATATGTCAGTTGCCGTCTAATGTCATCTTGATAACAAAAAGTTAGTTATTGTCAAAAGTAGTTAAAATCATGTTAAAATATTAAAATTTACAAGTTATAATTAGATATTTTATATTATTTCAACAATAAACACATAATAGTACAGCGTAATGTTGATATGCAGGAGGTGGCTTTATCCTGACGAAAGTTCAAACTGTCGAAACTTTCGTGTAGTATCGGGGGCAGTCGTGCGGAGCCGACTGTAAACCGCCTAAGCTCCTCCTCCTTTCTTCGTTTAGGATATGTCTAGGCCGAAACAGAATAAAAACGTGTTCTTCTTTCAAATTTTTGGGCAAATAGACAAAAATTTGACGTTTATCCCTAGATCATATATATAGAAATACATTTTTAAGATATTTGTATATAAATTATATATGATCTAGAGATTTATCATGTGACGAGCAGATTTTATTCAAATATTAAATTAATTTTTAATAGCATTATGTAATAGTTAATATCTTTTATGGGTAATTACCCTTTTATGTAAATATTTTTTAACAATGAATGATTTTGAATGTAACATTGATTTTTGATTTAGTGCTGGTTGATTTATGATGTTTTCATAATGTTTTCCGTTAAATGAAATTTATATTTATGAATTAGTTTTCAGCGGAGGGCTTTAGTAAAAAATTCGAACCTTAGTAACCGTTTTCTTTTTACCAAAAAGGTAGATATTTTTTTATGTTAGAAGTTATAACTTAATTGGGCATTGGGCATCAGAATAAACATGTGAATATCTTGACTTGGTGTTTGTTGTCTACTTTAAGTGGTACTGAATTTATTAAAATAAACGTTGTTTTCTACATTTCTGTTTTATTTCAATAACAAAATACTGGTCCTACACCAGTGTAATAACAAAGACATCTAAATTTTAGCCGAACACACGCTGACCATTTTATAATCTGATTCTTGGTCGCATTTATGATAGAATTGCAGAATTCATCACCTTCAACGAAATCAGGTAAGAAGTATTTAAAATATTAAGACAAAACCTTAGAGGAAAAATAAAAGGCAAAAACCGATTTTTTTAAAAAGAATTTAATATAAGTATTCCAAAAATATTTAACGCCACATGATGTAACACAAAAAGTAGGTAAACATCAGTTATAAAAAAAACATTAGAAATTTATACAGTATCCTTTAAGCTAGGCTCACGTTTTTCTGCAGAAATAAGTATTTCAATTCAACACATTGACTATCACAATAACTACACTAACTATATCAACTGGTTAAGCTCCGCATTATGAATATTCTTCACCCGGTCCTATTTTCAAAGTGAAGTAATGTAATTTTGATCCTGATTTATAAACAATATTATTTGAATGAAACTTTTGCTTTTAATTTTCCTGCCATGCTGGTAATTGCTTTGGATTTGTATTAACATTTTCAGGGTTAGAGTTCAGTATAGTTTGATGTTGAATTCCTTTCTAACACAATCTCACAGCTTCAGGCTTCAGGTTTACATACTATTCATACGCTGTAGATTTTTGACCTAAAAGAATCACTAAATATAGAAAAACTATGGGGAAAAGTGTTTATCATAAGCCTTACTTTTTGTTTTGATAAGGATATGGCCTGCAACTTTAGGCTTCCATAATCACTGACAAAATCTTGCTTTAAAATATTTGAACACACGCCTCCTATTTCCTTTTAATTTCTGGAAATTTGTAACAATTCATGGTGAACACTACTAATAATTTCCGTGTTTCTTATATCTTTGAAAACTCCACTGGGCAGTCTGGGCTAGCATTTAAAATAAATATCAAAACTAAGGGCTTCTATTTTCTATGTTATTCACGAGTTAAATTTTTGGTTTGTACCGATTCCGCATTTCTAGGCTTTCAGGTTCTGATTTTGCAAGATAACTTTACATTTTAAAATATTTTAAGTGTATATTTCCACCAAAAACAAATTGCGTTGACTTTTATTTACATAATTTAAAATACAAATAACGAGGGGATTTCTCAGCCCACAATCCCACGAACCAACCCAACCCATCTCTATTTCGATAATCCTTACTGAGAGAGTTTATTTCTCCATATGCAGGTCCAAAACAAAAAGTGCCGTTATATTTTTCAGTTTTCATTGTGAGCCGCGTAAGTTTCAGTGATTTTAGTGTTGTCAGATATTTGTATTTGTGAAATAGAAATATTGCGTTTGGATTGCAAATCTAAAAGTGGAAGTTTTATTG